CATCTGCCTCGGACATAAAACCCAGGTTTTCTGCAGGTCTCGGAATTCTTTTGGGCAGCTTTAATAAGAAACGGTACATGCTGGCTATGCTTGTACCGCAGTTTCCACTGGTGGCTACCTACGCAGTGCCACATACTGTGGCTTACCACAAATGAGGTTCGCGTTGGGGCAGGATCCTGGCAATAGAGGTCATGCAGTCTGGCATTCTACGCGATGCACAGATCCATGCACGCCTCTGTTCAGTCTTGGACTTCACTTAGCAACCCCCAAGCTGCTGTGCAACGCTGCGCCACAGCGCGCTCAGTCCAAGTTGTTTGCTCATTTTCGTGGTTCAAATCCTGCTGCCATGCAGAACCTGAGGCAAGCTGTGGGAGACGTTCATCTCAACATATTTTTACATCGTTTTTCCCACCTCCCCTCCCCCTTTTCCAGGAGGAGCTCACAGAAGAGCTTCGGAACAGAAGAGGCTCGGCCACATGCACGGCTGCAGGCGGTGAGTAGTAGTGGCTGAGTGTGTTCATGGGCGTAGTCCGCCTCCAAAAGCCTCGGCTGAGGCCTTGCACATAACAACAGGGCTTCTGAACAAATGGAAGGTGAATACTTTCATTCCACTACTAGTGTGTTCTCAGAAGCCCTAGTCCATTTTCTAGCAGGAAGCTACGCCGAAGGCGCTTTCCTAGGAAACATAGTTAATACAGGATGCAGCTGCCTGACAGCTGTGGAAAGGCCGCGAGTGCACGTGATGTTCCCCTCAGAAAAGGGTCTGCGCCGTTTGCCTCCGCTTGTAGACGACGAGCGTGGCCCAGAAGAGGGAAATTGGTAGTTTCCCAAAATTAGGGGAACCCCAATATAGACACCAATATATTATAGTCCTGATTATAGGGACCCCCCAAAAAGGTACCCCTAATGTCCATCTCATTTTCCATTTTCTTTTCCATTTGATTCTGAATTATTGGGGTATAATATCCTAAACCCTAAACCCTAATCCTGGTTTCCATTTCATTCTCCATTTTCTTTTCCATTTGATTCTCCATTATTGGGGTAATGAGGGAACTCCAATATAGACCCCAATATACTATAGTCCTTATTATAGGGACCCCCCAAAAGGTACTCCTAATTTTGGGAAACCCTAAACCCGAAATCCTGAATCAGTTGGGCTGCCAGGATCCTCAGGTGAGCCTGCCCGCAGGTGTCGTTGCTGGCCAGGCTCCCTGCTTGTGCCTTCCACTATGGGGCTGTTAGACCCTAAAATTCCCGATTAGGGATCCTATTAAGGGTAGATTCAGGTACCCTTAAGGTCTAATAGCCCATAGTGATTTCACTTTTGTTGGATGATTTTTTTGGGTTCTGCCTGAATTGGAGGCGCCTCAGCGTTTGGAAGTTAGCCCAGAGCAGGTCCAGCAGTTCGAGGCCGGACTTGCGCAGGAAGCTGGCATATCTTTTGCATGTCAAGCCCCCTTTTGGAGCCAGGAGGATGGGGTGATCATGATCCGTGGTGCCATGAAGGCGCAAGCCCCTGCAGTATGTAGCTCGAGCGAAGAAACTTGTTGTGGGTCCTTGGTTCTGGAACTTCATTTTTACAGCCCTTCGCCCCTTCCGCAGGAGTGGGTGCCTTTCTTGCGCTCCATCACAGAGGACCAGATTGAGAAGCCTCACCTTTGGCCAAGACCTTATCTTGCTCTGGGTTCCAGGAGCTCTGAGCTTTGGGCTTTTTTTCTTTGCCGAGTCCTACAGAGTTCCCACTGCTCATCAGGTCGTTGGTTGGACGTATGAGCGGTATGTACGACTACATCCAGTCATGACCTCGGACTTTGGGATCTCTTTCGAGGAGGGTTGCAGGAGTGCAATGCTTGTGGCAGGCGCAACATGTGGATGACCAACAATGGCTTCCGTGACTTCGTGGCGGGGCTTCGGAACTTTGCTAGATCACAGCATGCATCAAAAGTCTCCTCGGAGCCTGTTGTGGGAACCGTTGCAGTACTACTCGCCGCTGGGTCACATCGTGTCTCAGTCACGGGCTTGGTGGGAGAGTGGGATCCTGCAAGGGAACTTTTTAGGAAGTGGTCCAAATCTGTTGCTTCTGCTGATGGCTGCAGCGCAGATTGTGAAGAGGTCATATGCAACATGAGCCAACTTCAGGCTGCTTGTCAATTATTAGCTGTCAATCTGTGTGGTCCCGCAGCATCATAGTTCTTGCCATTATGGCGGGCAATGATTCGCCGGGCCTGGTTGGTGCTGTTGCTGACCACCGGCCCGCTGATTCTCTACGCGCTATACTCGCAGGTGCACGAGTTGCAGCATAGTTTTCTTGGTGTTGTCCGCAGCTTTCTTACCCAACAAATCCTGCCACAGACGGCTCGTTTCAACGTCAGCTTCTACGCAAACCTTCGCAACAACCTCTTCCTGGAGGCCGGAGAGCTTGGGAACGGTCGGATGAAGTGCCAGCAGCATCAAGAGAGCTCCTTTGACGACCAATCTGAGGCCACGCCCGCACGCAGTCAGGCAAGATACCTTGATTTGTTTCTGGTATGCGTATGACATTGAGAGGGGAGCAGGCTTTGGTGGGACATGACGCCGAGGCAAATGTTTTAGAAGAGCACCTTGGAAGCGATGAGACGGATCAGCAAGACAATGCGTCTGGTGCCTGGACGCAGGATACGCAGGCTGCAACCTAAGCACAGCACACCTGCTTGAGACGGAGATGAGTAGGTCTTGCCGTGTGAGGAAGGCAAAGACCTGATCATCGTAGATGTGGTCGCGGAAGCCAGTGCCTTGCATGACATTTCTTTGGTGCTTAGTGGGCTCCCGCCGCAGTACAGCAGAAGAAAGCATCGAGGAAACGGAAGTTCCAATGGCTCAACTGGCAGCGTGGCTGACAGCCCAACCGACCTTTTGCCGATCGTCAGCTCGACATCGGCACCTCCGCATTACAGCAGGACATGTATGCTGCTAGGCATCGCAGTTCGGAAAGAGAACATGGTCACAGCAGACAGATCCTTCTAGCATTGCGGCCTAGGTTGCAGGTGCTTGTCAGAGTACCTCCAGCAGATTTGACTAGTTTGATTCCATGCTTTGTGGAGGACTTCTGATGAGGTCTGCCGATGTGCAACCCAAGGCCACCAAGTACCGCCTCATGGGGCAAAGGCTGGCATTCCTGGTCTCAGGTTATAGTCCCCCTTAAGTAGATAGAATATGGGGTATATGGGGATCTTATTATAAGATACCCAAAGCCATATTCTATCTACTTAAGGGGGACTATAATTGCAGGTGGACTTGCTGTGAGCGTCCTCTGCCTGTCATATGTGGTAGTTTCCCAAAATAAGGGGACCCCAATATCGACCCAAAATACTATAGTCCTTATTATGGGGATCCCCAAAATGGTACCCCTAATTTTGGGAAACCCCCATTTCACTATGCAGATTCGTTTGTGTCATGAAGCAGGCAGAGCTGCCGAATCTCTTGGCGGAGGCTTGGTAAGAATTACCATGACCATGAGCCTTGGTGCAGGAACTCCTCATGGAGTCCTGGAGGGGAGCATGTGAAAGCTGAGGAGATGCGTCAAAACCTGCGTCTCTATGTTTATCCCCTGTCCACAAAATGCACGGCACCAAGGCCCCTTGCCTGCCATTGCGGGCAGAAAGGGTGAGCATGTTGTGCCTTGCCCTGGCAGGATCGGCAATCGTGGGTACTGGGTAGAGTGGAACCTCGGTTGCTGTTAAGGAACGTAAATTAAGTTACCATAATGGGTATATATAGTAAATAATAGGGTTTCCCCAATATAGTAACCCTAAACCCCTAAACCCTAAACCCTAAACCCCATAGGGTTTCCCCAATATAGTAACTTAATTTAAGTTCCTAAACAGCAACCCAGGAACTTCTACACACGATCGCTCGCGTCATCCTTGCGGGTCAAGAGCCCGGATGCAGCGACGATTTTCTACATCCCCACCTTCACTTCCTGCTGGCGCTCGCAGGACGGATACCCAGAATTATGCGAGGCTTCATCTTGCAGATCTCGGGGTTTCCCCAAATTAGGGGTACCATTTTGGGGGTCCCCATAATAAGGACTATAGTATTTTGGGGTCTACATTGGGGTCCCCTTATTTAGGAACCTACCATATAATAGTATATTATGGAAAATTATATGGTATATTATCTTGTATGTTATAATCCCATTACCATATATATAACCCTAAACCCTAAACCCAAAACTTCTTAGAATCTTGTGCTCGGTCAGGTCCCTGGCCGGGGCGAAGGCGGCCGACGCGCAGCTCGGGAGCTGAGAGCCGCTCTGCAGAAGGTGCCATGGCGCTGCACCAGGGAAAGAGGGAATGTGAGCTATAGTCTAAACTCCTTAAAGGGGTTTATATAAGGGATTGCATAGGGGGTTATATATAGGGGCTATATGGGGTTATATTTAGGGTTTAGGGTTTAGGGTTTAAACTCCTTAAAGGGGGGATCTATAGTATATTATATAGGGGACTACTATAGGGGTTATGAAGGGGGCTACTCTGAGTTTAGACTATAGCTCATGTCACGCAAGGGCTGGACATGGAGGGTAGACTGTACCTGCTGCTCCTCACTTGGAGGCCCATGGGACAGGTTACCCCAAGTATAAGTAGGGTTGCAATCCCAGTTATAAGTAGTTAACCCTAAACCCTAAACCCTAAACCCTTGGGTCTCCAGGCAGGGACTGTGCTAATACCATTGTGCAAGGTGGCTTCACAGTGGCCATTCTTCCACAAGCCTGAGTCCTAGCTTGTAGATGGGTTGTTCGCTACGCCAAGAGACCATGCTGCTTTTGTGGGATGGTGAGGTACAGTGGCAAGAGGCATGTCTGGGTATCTGCGCATGCGGCTGGTCAGCAGAAGAGTTGCAACTGCTGGCTGCAGACGAGCTTAGATTCAACTGCTTTCGCTTTGGATCCGTGCTCTGTTCGGAGCATGGTTGTTTTTTTCTTTCAATCATGACACGGGAATGTGTGCACCATCTGCGAGGACATGGGCAAGGTTGAACCCAGCTGGTGTCCCGAGCAGCAGAAGAAGCCTCCGGATCTTTGTACCGATCATTTGCCAAATGTGCTGGCCATCAACAGCGACCCGGTCTGAACTAAGATATGATGCTGAGGACCGTACATTCTTGTCGACCCATGATTGAAATGGTAGTTTCCCTAAATAAGGGGATCTCAATATACACCCCAAAATACTATAGTCCTTATTATAGGGACCCCGAAAAGGTACCCCTAATTTTGGGAAACCCCCAAATTGAGATGCTTAATCCCACATCCTTAAAGCAAGGCATAATTCAATAGGGCATACATATATCCCCTATAATCCTTTTATAGGGCCTACATTATAGGGACCCCCCAAAATGGTACTCAGGTAGCGTGTTGGCAAACACGGCCGACATCCGGGATCGCCTTGCCTTTGGTGTGTGCCTTGCTGATTACTTACTGGTTCTCAGCGGAAAAGAAGGAGAGATGTGATATCGGGAATATATTGCAGGGATTTAGGGTTTAGGGTTCATCATATATGCTGTAGGGGTTACATTATAGGAATTTAGCCATATTCCCTTATTTCCTGGATATATGATATGGGGAGTATATTCCAGGGATTACTTATATTCCCTTTTTCCCTACTAGGGATTAAGTATATTCCCTTATTCCCTATGAAGAACCCATAAGATTATCTGACCTGCAGGGACTTGTATCTGTTGTGGCGTTTCATGTCGGGTACGGCAGGTATGCTTTCAACAGCAAGGTTGATGTTGCGCTTGTCTGTAACGGTGACACGGCCCTGGCCAAAAAGGGCAGCAAGGCGCCTTGGGCGTTGTGTGGATCAGAGCTACTTTGTTGAGAATCTGGTTTGCTACTCAGCTGCATGAAATCCTGCCCTCAGACCGTGAAGAATGCTGATGCACGCCACTACTCGGTCTTCTTTGCCGGCAAGTGGGACAAGAGCTATGTAAAGGGAGTCCGCTATGCCGCGATCAGGCCGGAAAATCAGCACTTTTCAAGCCTGAGCTCCTGGCTCGCGCTGTTAGTTCTCATGACTACTTTTATTTTTATTGCTATTTTTCTTGTTATTATTATTGTTATTATTACTACTACTATTACTATTATTATTCTTGTTATTGTTACTATTACTACTATCATTGTTATTCTTGTTATCACTTACTACTACTACTACTACTACTACTATTACTACTACTACTACGACTACTACTACTACGACTACTACTACTACGACTACTACTACTACTACTATTACTATTACTACTACTACTACTACTGTTCTTGTTATCTTTATTCCTGGCCAGGAGCATACAAAACCTGAAATTGGAGAAGCCCGTGCGCATCGAGAAGAGAATGAGCGACAAGGATGGCTGGTGGTCTCTTACAAGTCACTATGGGCCTTGCACGTCCAACATATGATCCACAATCCATCTATGGTTATTCCCGGCTTTAGTTATTATTACTATTATTACTGTTATTGTTCTTGTTATTGTTATTATTATTACTACTATTATGTTTAATTGATATTGATATCATTAGTACTACTATTATTGAGTCCACATCCATGTATCGTCCCTTTCCGTCGGATTTGTATCTCTGAGCAATGCAGCATCTCTGGCTTGTGGCTCTGATGAAATCCGTGTTTTTGTAGGCAAATGCCACAAATCGCAACTGGTCGCGTTTAGAAACTTCTGTGCAAAAACCGGCTTTTTGGGCTTGCTATCAGCTTCGTCTGCTAGCAAGAATTCAACGTCCTAAACTTTGTAAATTCTGGGGGCTGATATATCTGACTTGGAATTCATCTAACACGCACAAGCCATTTTAAAATGGTGGTAATTTTCTAAACCGATATGTGGCTGTCAACTCTAGGTCACGGTGGGCATGCCCGAAGTGACAATTTCATATTATTTCCGAAGATACGGGTCGTCCTGATGTATCCTGATGTAAACTAAAAGCTACCATACCCTTAATGACACAACGAGACCCCAGTTTCTTGGATCCGTTTTTTTGGGTTAGGCTTGCTTGTAAAAAGTGAAGTTACCAATAGGGACATGCGGTAAGTGACAGAGTTTCATCGTACTTGTAGTTTAGGCCAACTTCCAGCAGCAAACCAGCTGTTTGAACAAAGAACGCAAATCCGAACCAGAGGCATCCAATCTTTCAAAATCCTTAGCAAGCCCCGAACCAAGCCAGATTCTCATTCCACACTTGCTTTCATAATGCCTCGTCGCCAAGATGAACCGCTCAGAAGTCTGATGCGTTGAGGACCCTTTCTCATACTCGATCTCAAACCTGCAACCCCAAAATGCACGACACTTGCAAATCAGGGGCATGAACCCCGCAGCCCTAGATGTAGTATTATCATTATTATCATCATTGATATTTCCATCTTATTTTTATTACTGATAGTACCACCCTAGTATTATTGCTATGCTTTATGGCTTTCTCGCCTTGTGGCAAGCAGGACTACCTGCACAGCTTGCAGACTAGCGAGCTGTGTTTGGCACCCAGAGGCAGCCGGGTTTGGTCGCCACGGCTCTTCGAAATGTGCCTCGGGCGAAGGGAATGCAGAGATAGGCTTTGGAGGCTGAGGTTAGGCGTCTAGGAAGTCTACTGTTTAACCTTTGGGGTTAAACCCTAAACCCTAAATCCTAAACCCTACCTTTGGGGTTTGGGGTTTATAGCTTTTTTGGAGGTCTGCAGGTTGAAGCTTGGGAGGGAGTTCTATGGCCTCCAGTCTGGGTGGTCATTGGACTAGCTTGACACCTGTGCATGGCCACTTTCAAGCTGCTGTTGGCTGTGCAAAACAAGGATAATCACGTTCTTATAGTTTCTGACATGCCTATCAGCTAGCTACGCTTGGGCTTTCCCAGAAACACAGACCTACCTTGCATTCCCTTGCTGAGGATGTGGTTTGGATGCATTCCCGTGACCCGGCAACGATGTGAGATGGGTATTGTTGGCCGACTGTTTACAGCGCGTCATTCCCAGCATGCCCAGTGTATGCAATGATATATTGTAATATGTGTAGTGCGACTCCAGGTGAACAGAAACCGCTTTTCTGCTAAAGCCGTTAATCTAAATAGCCGTCGCCGTGGTTCCGGCAACCCTTTCTCACTTTGTCATGCCCTGGGCATCAAGCTCAATCTGCTGGACAAATTGTCAGAGGCCTGCTACTTAATCACTGCTACCCTGTGCTTGTACATGTTTGTTTGTTCTTGCTGTGTTGATCGTAGTTCTTGTCTCTGCATATTGCTGTTGTCTCCGGTGTTCTACATGCGCCACATTCACTACCTGCAAAGTTTTCCTTCTCTCGCCCGCTCGATCGCACCACCCCACCGGAGCAAGCAAGCACTTGTACGCTCATGCATTCACTCACTCGCTGCCCCCTTCCGGCTGCTGTCATCATAACCTGATAACCACCATCTCGAGCATGATGTCGCTTGCTGTTGCAACCCGTCATGCAGATTCGTTGCCGCGAGTGGCGACTTGTTCTGCCCCTTCGGTTCGCGAGCTATGGCCAGCTTTCTTCTGATGAAACATCATGTCACACAACAGTGCACCCCAAACTGCTCGCCACACAATGGAACCTTGACCACCCCTGGCTATTGGACAATCAAGAAGTCACGCAAGGAAATTCCTGTCCGAGTGGCTCCATTTGTCCGCCAGTTTGTCTCAGATTTTTTTCGCAGCACGAACAGCTCCTCCAAAAAAGTGCATGTGTCACATAAACAGCATTGAAACGAAAGTACTCTGTACTGATGCAATCAACACCTTGAAAGCAAGCTTTCAGCACTACCGATGGCATGGGAGAAAGAAAACACTGTTAAAGGCGTTGTGAAACCTCGTCCAAGACCCACACGTGCCAGCATGTGTGTCTGGCGTATGCTGGTGCCTAGGGAAACGCACCACCTTTGGGTTACATTTTTCTGGCTTTCAAAGGCACGGATCGAGCCCTGGAAGCCGATACAACATGCGAAACATAACGACTCAGAAGACCTAGAAAAACCTCCTTTGCAATAACAAGGGACAGTCAAAACTTTGAAGATGCTTTGCCTTTAGACAGCTGAGGTCATCATCGCTTCCGGGCGGCTTGGGCACTTGTTAAGGCGGTGGACAGGTCTTTGACCGCCTCTCCCCGTCGCTCCACGTTCTGTGTTGGAGTCATCACAACCTTCAACCGACTGCGTGGAACCATCAGCTCCGCCATGCAAAGGTACTACCTTCCTGGAGCCTGCTTCTTCAACTGGACAGACTTTGCAATTATTGTGCCGGAAGAGAAGGCAGACCAGGCCGGGAAGCATGAAAACGTGCAGTGCCCAGTGTTTTGGAAAACAGCGGTTGATGGTGGTTTGCTGGACAGGCTGGTGAGCTTATCCTGCCATACCTCATGGACTCCGAGCGCTTGACAACCATGAGGAGGACCGCCTGTTTAAGTGATAAGTTTGTTTGAAGCAAAGGCTTTTTGGCTCTGCTTGTGCCCATGTGTCAAGTTATAGGCATGGTCATTAACCCAGCCTGGCCCAGCTTGCTTTTTAACCGCCAAGCCAGCTTGTTCACAAGCGGTCTATGCTGGGTCGAGGAAAGTTCTTGAGCTGCGGCACCATTTCACATGGAGCAAGAAGGACACTCTTGTAGAGACGAGGGTGCACTTGGGACCGGACATAGATAGAATGTAAGCGAGTGTCCTTGCCATGTGAGGAGACGGAGGGTGACGCCTTTGACCTGGCCTTGCTGGACGTATACCTGAAGCAGCAGAGATGTTGAGGCAATCCCACGTCACGACGTCACGATACGGCACGATTCGTTGCTTTCCCTGCCCCTGGCTATGGCAGCAGGGTTAATGCCGCGTCGACGCGGGCGCACAGCGAATTGAGGCGCAAAGGTGAGCCATGTGAAGCTGCAGAAGCCTTGCAGCCTTTGGTAGGCTTTCGAAACTATGCTGCTTCAAGATCAACGTGCAGAGCATTTATCCTTCAAACCTACGTATGGTAGAGTTGCCTCCTTCGATGCGTGCAAGACTGCTGACTGACGCAGCTGCTCTTCGCTGCGCTACGTTGGATGTACGTCGCTGCGAAGGGGGGTGGTGATGGTGGCTGCAGCGGCTGCGGCGGTGGCGGCTGCGGCGGTGGCGGCTGCGCGGTGACCTACGGCAGCGGCGGTGGTATTGGTTCTAGTGGTGTATTGGACGAAGTCATCTTCCTGTGTTTCGGGCTGATAGACGGCAGACAAGACGACCATTCCTGCTCAGTGCAACTTCGAGATGGACTGTGCAAGAAATGGATGAGCGCAGGTTTGGGTTCCATGGAGTTCCCCCTTCAGTTTTGGGGCTGCTCCGGAGTGTTCAGAAAGACATGGCAAACATGTCATCATGTCACCTTGGTTTTTCACAGTCGGAGGGCTTCACCAGCCTTCACTGGCTCGCTGCAAGTGAAGGAGGCCATGAGTATTGGGGTTTTGGAAGCGGGAGGTCGGTCCATTCGGCCTTCTATGTGCTGCGCGCTCCTCTCTGACATGTGAGTCTGATCGCGGCCCAAGAGGTTCTGCACAGTGCAGTGTATAGCTGCGAATCCCCTGGGGAGTGCGCCCTGGGACAACCTTAGCACGAATGACCTGAGCACCTACAGTTCATGAACCCGAGCCGAGATCTTCAACGACGCCCTGTGATAAGTTGTCGTTAGATCTGTGAAGCATTCTTTGCCTATGCTACACACTGCATTGAGTAAGCAAATGTGCTTCAAGCAAGGATGCCTGTCATCAAAGGGTACTGAAGGTCAGCATTTGCAAGATCTCAATGGGCTGCGGCGCGCTCCCTTTTTGCCGGCCAGCGGTTTCTGCCAAAGCGAGGCAGCCCACACAACAACGCTGCTCCTTGCACCTGACGTAGAATCTACTCAGTAGCAGGCAGCTTTGTTTCAGTCCACGCGACCTGACTTCGAAGCAGCTAAGGATGACGGAAGCAGAAGCCGTGGTTGTCGGAGTTCGTGTTCGGCCCTTCGCCGAACGTGTCGCTGGGCTGAAGTCCCCGTGCGCTGCCAGTGGGTGATGCTTGTGATGAGTGTTGCCACCCTCGTTGTTGAAATTCGTTTCCTCGCTACGGCCCTTTGCTTTACACGTTGTTTTTCGCACTTCTGATTGGCATCGGAGGTATCGCCACATTTGATGTTTTACGCAATGTAATCGATTCTTTACACTTATCTTCAATGTTTTGCTTGCAAGACTTGATTTCCACTATGACTGAGGAAATACAAAACCATGCCACGCTGTGTGTAAGCATGAGCCAGAAGTCGACTTGCATTTACGACAGCGGCCTGCCTGCACCACAATCTCTTGCAGTAGAAAGCTGTGGCCATGTACCATGCGTGTTTGTGCCGTGGAATGTTGGTCCGCGTCTCAGTAGAGCCGCCTAGGTTCTGGGAAAGAGCAGATGTTTACCTTCGACGAATCCTTCTGGAGTCATGATGGCTACGATGACGACGGCACCGGGTACCTGAGGCTTCGGCTATTTCCATCACGCGCAGTTTGTACATGGAGACCCCCAAGGTACGGGAAGACGGGGCTGGGAGTGGACTCACATAAGTGACGTCCAATGTCCCAGGTGTTCATTCCTGTACTATGTTAGTTTCCATTTTTTCCATTCTCCCCATATCCCCCCTATATCTACCCTATTATAATATTATAGTTTACATGAACTTCCCAATCTGTACCATCATGAACCATCTGTGGGGAGATTTTGGCGGCCACGTCAAATTTCGTAATGATCCCAGTGTCTCACAGGAGCAATATCTTGCCAGAAATCTATCAGCTTACCATGAACATCCATGAACCATAATGTTGGGATCGTAGTTGTCACCGGAGGCCATCTCTTTTGCAGTTTTTTTCTGTGCCCTACTCTGATCGTAACATGCGCAAGATTTGCAGCCCATGATGGCGGTTCTTGAGGCAAGCCACTTTTAGTGTACATGGCGCTCTGGGTAAGGGGCTGGCGCTCTAAGTACAGTACCTAGGGCCTGCTCTCGAATGGGTTTCAAGGCACGCTGAACGGCAGTTCACGCGGCGAGTTTCCACCACTTCGCGGGGCGAGATTTGTCCCGCTTCAGCGACGCTGACATAGCATGAGACTCCCTTCTCCATATCCTCCTGATCTCCGGTCAACGGTCCTCATGTTGCATGAAGACTGAAAGCTGGACAGGCCGAAGCGGGGAAGTCAGTATGCAGACGCGGCCTGAGCCGCGATGAACGCGAGCCCTTTCTCGGACCTGCAGAGTGCATCTGCGCATGCAGCTGAGGATCAGAAGTATGTCTTCGACACTTTTGGTAAAAGAGTGCTTGATAATGCCTGGAACGGCTATCACTGCTGCCTCTTTGCATATGGGCAAACAGGCCTGGCATTCGGCCCAGGGCTTCTTGGGCTTCTTGATGTTGGGGACGGTCTCAATGCAGTTGACCCTGTGAAGGTTCTGGAAAGAGCTACTCAATGGTTGGATACGGCAACAACAAGGGAATTGTGCCGATCTCCTGCGAGGAGATTTTCCGCCGTATCGCAAAGGACGATGGCAACGGCAATTCCTATGAGGCAGGGCGCTGCACGGCCTTAAACCCTAAACCCTAACCGTAAACCCTAAAGCAAGGGCTGGTTCTGAAGCCTGTAGCCTCCGCGTTGCCGGTGAGATGCCTCAAACCCTAAATTGTAGGTTCCATTTTCTTTTCCATTATCCCTATATTAATCCCTATATAATCCTTATAGAATCCCCATATGACCCGAAAAAATACATTCCAGGTTATGGTGTCTGCCATTGAGATTTACAATGAGGCAGTGCAGGACCAAAGCCCTCGTCTTGCACGGCTTTAGAGTTTGCTCTGGCTTTTGTAGGTTGGTGTACTAGTCACTTCCTAGTAGGGAAGAACTAAGGGAATAGAATCCCTACATAATCCCTATGCCCTATACTATGACATAACGTATTCCCCAATTCCCGAATTACTAAGAACCAGTAAGTGGATGACCTATCCAGGACCTCCTGATACCAGTCGAGCAGCGTCCACGGAAAGGCTTTGAGATCCGAGAATCCAAAATTCTAGGCCGGACAAGGGGCGACCTGCGTGGTGCTTTCATGCCATAGCAGGTGCCTGCTTTTGCATGTGAGGAATCTACATTGATGGGATTACAAAGAGGCCAGCAGTTGCAGCATATTCTGAACATGCAGTCGACTTGCTCCACTGCTTGGACTCTTCTAGAGTCACGTGGGTGATCAGTGTTGATGCAAACACATGGGTTGCCTGACGATGTTTTCTTCAGAGGCCGGTCGAGTCGTACCAAGCCATTCACGACACCATCGAGGATCCTGTTTTGCATTGCTGGATCTTGGCAAAGCATGGCAAAGTTTCAGCAGTAACAATGCTGAGGTGTGCTTGTTGCGTTGTATGCTTGCAGGGTTGTGGGCGCAGAGAGGAAATGTGAGAGATGAGCGCTTCAATGACTCCCTGGTGAAATGGTAGGGCTTGTGGACAGGTGATTTTTTTTTGGACCGAGGGCTTTCACTATCCCGGTTCTTAAAGATTGTCTTGGCCCCGAGCTCAAGGTCCACAAAGTACCGGCAACGATACTTCCAATCATGTGTGTTTCTGTCTCTGCAAGTCTAGCAGCATAGAGGAGTGTCTCAAACTTACCGCCATCATGGCTAATGCGTCACGTGCTTGCGGACTGGTTTTGTGAGCATGTGAAGGTCTTCAGAAGGGGAAAAGCTTCGCGAGACAGCTTCTTGCTGCGGCTAGTGGCACAAGAAGCACTAGGAAAAATTGGGACCGTTATTGGGGATTAGCAGGGTGCTAGATGGGACGGATCAGGGTGACTTGACCCTTCCAGGCTTAGAGACGAAAAAAATGCGAACCTTAAGTCCGTACTGCTATTGGAAAAGAAATCAAAGAATGGATCCTTCCTGCTACTATTCGGGTTGCATTGCCCTTCCTGCCACAGGAGGCGACGACCCATCGAACTGTGGGATCTACGATGATGCGGCTGGATTGCAGAGCCTGGAATCATTTGCGTGTGCACCACTTGGGTATTTCTCAATATTATCCCTATATATTCCCTAATAAGGACCCCCATAATCCCTCTATAATCCCTATATATCCCCTGGGGTCCCTAGGGTACCCCTTTTTTGAGAAACCTCCACTTGTAGGTGAAGTATCAAGGTTTAGGGTTCAGGGTTTAGGGTCCCTCTGCAGAGATGAGGAATGCCACATCCAGCCGTGCACACACCGTTCTCATGGTGGAGTTCAAAGCTGTGAGCGCAGGAGCCAAGAAAAGAGCATCTTAGTAAGACTATTGGGCTAATATTGGGATAGTATGGTATTGGGGTAATATAGGGATAAAAGATGGAAACCTTAGTATGTTTGCAGGAGAATATTCCCCATATAATTCCAATATAACTCCTATAATCCCTATAGTTTCCATTTTCTTTTCCATTATTCCTACATAATCCTTATATTATCCCTACATATGTTTGAGGGAGAGTGCAGGCAGCTGGAATTGTTGACGTGCTTAAAGTCAGGATGACATTACTATTATCATTATTATTATTGTTGCTATTAGTGCTATATTCCTATTATTCCTCTTATTGCTATTATTGTTATTATTACCCCAATGGGTCCCTATTATACCCAGGGTGATATGTTGCCGCAGCTGTGGCCAGGATCCACGCGAGTCTCGATGATCAACCTGGTCGACCTAGCAGGTAGCGAGAAGGCCTGGGGTAGTGTATAAATATTGGGGTAATATGGGGATCATGTCGAGGTAGTGAGGTAATATAGGGAGAATATTGAGCACCGACATGGGTGTTGCAGCTACTTGAACCCAAAAGGTGAAGCACACTGGCGCAGAAGGCGAGCGAATGAAGGAGGGAGTCACATGTCTGCAATGCAGTGTTTGGACGTCCTCTGGATCGCGGCAAGGCACTTAGCAGGTGAATGGAAAATGAACTAAGGCCATGATCAACAAATCTTTGCATCTTGTCTGCCATGAAGCTGAATGGACAGTACAACTGCAGCTGCGCAGCTTACCCTCTGCCATTGGTGCATGGGCGTCTCAGGAGTGCTCTGGGCAATGTCATCGAAAAGCTGGCAGAGAAGTCCACAAACCCAAAGAAGGCGACTGTGTCGCAACTGTCAGAATACCTGAAGCTTCTTCATGTCAACACGGTAAGACAGAACATGGTTTTGCGTTCTGACATGATCGTCCTGCGAATGCTCAGGCGGCGGTGATCGTCGTCCCGTACCGTGAGTCCAAACTCACCCGGCTCTTGCAGAACGCTTTAGGCCTGACAGCTTCCAACAACGTCCACCTGACCTGTAGTCTAAACTTCTTAAAAGGGGGTTCTAGAGGGGATTGATTATACAGGAGACTACTATGGGGGATTTTAAGGAGCATACTACAATTGTGGCTCACCTCAACCTTGGTTTCCTGCATCCTGGGTTCCATGCTGCCTGGTGACATTTGGAAGTTTCCCAAAAATTAATAGTACTTTTTTTTGGAGGTCCCCCATAATAAGGATTATAGTATATTGGGGTCCATATTGGATTCCCCCTATTTAGGGAAACTACCATTTGAAGAGGCGGCTCCAGCAAGACCATAATGATCTGTGCTCTCTCGCCTGCATCTTCAAACTATGAAGAGACGCTGTCAACTTTGCGCTACGCCGACCGTGCAAAGAAGCGGCTCGGTCTCAAGAACTACTACTACTACTACTACTACTCCTACTACTATTACTATTACTTTTACTATTACTATTACTATTACTTTTACTATTACTATTATTATTATTATTTCTATTACTATTGCTATTACTATCACTATCACTATTACCATTACTTCTTCTATTACTACGATTAGAATTGCTATTACTACTATTACTACTACTATTGCTACTACTACTCCTACTACTACTACTACTGCTGCTGCTGCTACTACTACTACTACCACTACTACTACTACTACTACTACTACTAACTACTATTACTATTACTATTACTATTACTATTACTCTTAGTATTGGCCTGGAAGTTGTGTGGTGCTGGGTGGTCTGCTCTTCAGGATCAAAAACAAAGCGGTCGTCAACGAAAACCCCCAGGCCTGTATGTGAGCAGCCCATGAAGCTCATTTGAGTGGGTAATATTTGTCCCCCTATAATGGAGAATCAAATGGACAAGAAAATGGAAAATGAAAATGGAAGCCAGGATTAGGGTTTAGGGTTTAGGATATTATCCCACTAGAATGGAGAATCAAATGAGTAGTAATTTATTTGGGAACACTATGGTACCCAATATAGAGTAAGATTCTTTCCTCCTTTTGGGGTATAGCATCTTATACAAGGAATATAATCTTGCTGGGTTAACCACCAAAAAAGCTGCTCATTTCATTCTCAAGTATAATGTGTTTTTTAACATAGTAGAATATACTATAATGTAGTAGAATAGGGGATAACCTAGTATAATATACTATAACTTTAACATAGTATACTATACTATAATGTACTATAATACAGTATAACGTAGTGTAATCTACTAGAACATAATATACTGGGTAGGCCCCTGGGATATTTAATATTTTCCCTAATGGCTTTAATGAGGGACCCTATATACTAATATTCTTCAAAGGGTTTTAGGGGCCAACCCAGTATATTATACTATAATATGTGTGGCTGCCAGGAGAAGCTGATGCGTGAGCTGATGGAAGCTTGGGCATGCAAATGGTGCAGATGTAAGCTGCAGTTGCTAGCATGCATCATTAGAGTAGTAGTAGTAATAATAATAGTAGCAGTAGCAGCTATAGTAGTAAAAGTAATAATTGTAGCAGGAATACTAGTAATACCAATGATGGTACTGGTAGAAATAGTATTAATAGCAGAAATAGTAGCAGGAGTGGTATTGTAGGAATTCTTTGGACCCCCGCTACCTGGTACCCCACTACTATTGAGGCCATATTCCTTCTTTATTTGAGTCTAAATGGGTAGTGGGGTACCAGGTAGTGGGGGTCCCAAGAGTCCCTAGGATGGCAGTAATACAAATAATGGTAATCGTAGCACGCAATCAGCCTTTCAGGAGGAGAATCAGAAACTCCGAGAGATGATGGCAGCGCTTAGCGCGGGGCAAGGCTTTGACGCCCAAACCTTCGAGAACCTGGGCAAGAAGCCGCAGCCTCAGAGGTTTAGGGTTTAGGGTTTAGGGTTTAAGGTTTAGGGTTTAGGGTTTAGGTAGTCACATCAAGAGGAAATACTATTATTACTATTATTGCTGTTACTATGAATTATATCCTGGGCAAGAAGCCGCAGCCGCAGAGCCCGGTCGTCATGACAAGGGGACTTGCTACTACTGGGTTTTGGGCTTAGGGTTCAGGGTTTACTATTACTAGCATTAATCTTTGAATTATTACTCTTATTATGAATTACGTTAGTCTTCCCATTATTCTTCTGATTTATTTTGATCATTGTTAGTACTTGAGATTCTTACTACGACTATTTTTGAAATTGTCACGAGTGGTTCAATCCCAGGCAGCGCGAGATCGCAGAGGCAGAGGCGGCTTTGAAGGAGACTTCTGCCTACAGATATAGGTAATAGTATAGAAATACTTGCATTCCTACTACTAATGGTAAAAGTAGTAGTAACAAGTATTCTCGTAGTAATAACAATGGTAATAATAATAGTGATAATAATCGAAATAATGATAGAAATAATGATAGAAACCAAAACAGTAATAATAGTGGGAATAATCGAAATAATAGTAGTAATACTAATAGTATTAA